CTTGCATTCTGTTGTTCGTGCTGTCTCTAGAATCAACAATAAAACATGTCTTCTGTCTGAATTAAAGACGCGATCCCAGACTTTGTCATTTTCTTCAGGTGGTGGAAGGATGCAGGCCTTGTCTGTAACATCTAGTGAACAGAAGACTACTTTTTTTTTACACAAAAATGTGTTTTTTTTTTCAAGCCAAAACTGGAAAACCTCAAGAGAATGCATCTGGACCAGCACACTTGAACTATCTGCACAGCCCCTGATTCCACTCAGGCTGTGAGCTGCTGAGACATGGACAATACCATCGTCCTCTTTTGCATGGACATCATTTGGAAAAATTGGATTACACAATTTGGACATGATTTGGACTGAATTGAACTGCTGAATCTGGACACTGAAGCTGAAACGTGTGATTGAAAGACACGTCACAGAAGAATTCATGGCTCAACACAACAAATGCAGCCTGAAGAAAACTAAAACGGAGAAGTGGGAGAGACTGTTTTCAAAGCACTATCTGGAACCACCATCGACTGATGAAGTTTGGTATTTTACTGAAGATTGTTGACAAGTTTTATGAAAGATCTGAACATGTTTTATGAGTTTTCGAAGTATTCCGAGTTCTGAGTTTTTGAAGTACCGAGTGAAGTACCGAGTTTATGAGTTTTTGAAGTATTGAGTTATGATGTTATGTTGCTGTTTATCGATCCTGATGGTCACACGTGAATGTGTGACCAAAGGGGGAAATGTGAGATTTCATAACACTTTTAAGCGTTTTACAAGTTTACTAAAGTCTAGCAACTATTTTAAATGTGTTGGCCTAATTACTAAGTATGTTTTAGAAAAAATGTAAACGTCAACAAAATCAAAAGTTTTGTCTAGCTCCTTAACATTGAGCTATAAAGCCACAGAAAGTTGTCCGGTGAAGAGAGAAGAATGAGCGGTGAGAAGCCAATGTTCCTAACCCTGCTCACAAGTGCCACCTGGTGGTTGTTTGGGTCATTGCAGCATCACTGGGGGAAAAAAAAAATAAAAGACACGTGTTTCACACGTGAGTCTCGTGCTATTCACGCGTGAAAGGCGACAAAACTAAATGGGACCTACTGTACATGAAAACAGAATAAAGAATTCTGAACATCTGCGCTGAGGTACTTATATATACTGAACCTATATCTATACTTAGATCCTCTGCAGATGTCTCCTATAATGTGCAATTCATGATAATAGCTTGTTCCGGGTTTGCCGCGATCGCTTTTTTTGTGCATAAAAAAAATATTTTTTTCATTAAAACGTAAACAAATAATTCTGAAAACCTCCGTGCATGTGTATTATAAAATGTACATGTATAATGTGTTCTCTGATTAACATTAATAATTATATACATAATAAATAACATAAAATAAAAACCCTCAAAACCCATACAATTTTCACCAAACTTATAAAACAAAATAAAAAATAAAACACAAAAAAATTTTCAAAATATCCACACCCACCAAACATATCTTATCTTTAATTCTACCCTTTCCCCCATCTCTCAATCCCTAATCAACTTACAAAAAAAATATTAATTTTAAACCTTATATACCCCACTCATACCCCTCTTATAACCATAAACACCCACACATCCATTCCATTACTACCTTTCAACTACCCCCTTCCCAACAATCATATATTCTTATTATATATCAAACCACATACACACAAACATTACCCAACAACCCTACCAACCCAAAAAATAATCCAAAAAATTAAAAAATCAAAAAATAATCAACAAAATTTAAAAAAACTAAATTAATATAAAAATAAACATATTCACCACTTTTACCTTTATTTCAACAAATACCATTTATTTCCACACAATAACCACCTCAATTTCTAATCTCCAAAAAAATAATAAATCATCCCAATCACCCACCCCAAAAAAAACCCAACCCAAATAAACAAAAATAACCTCACCCCACCCCCCCAACTCCCATTACCATAAAACACTATCAACAAATATTAAATACATTACAACCTAAATTATCCCAAAATAAATCTCTAACAAAAAATCCCACTACCCATCCACCCATCAAACTTAATAACACAACACCCTCCTACCAATTTATAATCACCCCCACACCCACCAACTAATTCCACCCTTTAAAAAAAAACCCCAATTTAAAATCTATTCCCTACTAATTCCATCACCACATCCCACATCAACACATAAATTAACATAACTCAAAAATCAAATACCCTTCTCTACCCATTCCACCCCCCTTTACAAGCAAAAAATGGCAACAAATAAATAAAAACACATGTATATGTTAGAGATCCACACTCTCAACCCAAAACATAAAGTTCCATTTTACAAAGTAAAAATGTGTCCAAGTATACAAAATATTAAAGAATAATCGACAAGAAAAAACATTTAATAGATTTTTATTCAAATTTGTGTTACATTTACATCACTAAAATACAAAGAAATCCCAAAATGGTATAAAAGACATCAGTCCAAATGCAAACAGTAATTATGAAGACTCAAAAGTCTAAGGTCAAATTGCACAAAGTCAAAACAAACGGACCTGCTTTAAGAATATTTTTAATGTTCTGATTTAATTATGATTCAACTCCTTGTGTGATGGTGTCCATCTTGTTCAGTTAAGCACTTTGAGTTTGACAAATAAACTTGCCTTGCCAAACCCTGCCAAATTATCATGAAACAATTGGTACAAAAAATTCACAACTTGGTGTTAATGAATTTGAAAAACATTCCCCTGTTGGCTGAGGCAGAGAATGGAAAATTCACAAAAGCACGAGCTAAAATCTTGTTACAATTCAAATTTTCCTTCCCCTTTATCTGTAGCAGAACAGACAAACAACAATGAGTCAATTCACATTTGTAGATCTGTAATTCATAAAAATATAAATATAAAAATTGATTAAGACTGAATGAACTAAATACAGTTACATTCACACAGTTCAGAAGAGAATCCTTGCTCTCAGTGTGCAAAAGGAAAGGAGATTTCTAATAAGATGAAGACGGCGTGTTGTGATCTGATTAGTGCACAACATGTTACTTAAACAGTCAGGTACTCCAGCTTTAAAGGTTTAAAGTTTGCTCTAGAGCAGAGGTCGGGAACCTAAGGAGCCAAATGTGGCTCTTTTGATGATTGTTTCTGGCTCTCAGACAAATCCCAGTTGTCATTAATAGTAAGAGTGTTATGTGTACTGGATTTATTGGAAGTATAAACATGTTCTTAAACTAAATAATACATTCTAAGACTAATATTACTCTAATCTTGTTTTAAAATATCACACTAATTCATTATTTAAAAAATGTATGGCCTCCACAGAAATACATTTAAAAGAAGACTTTTTGTGCTCCATCAGAGCAAATAGTTCCGACCTCTGCTATATGGAAATGAAAACCTTTTTAATGACAAAGATCCGGTTGTCCCGTGTGAAACCCGGGCTGCATCTCAATTCATAAAACAACCTCCTCCTCAGAGTCTTTGCGTTTCCATTGAATTTTGTGGCATAAATCATAACTTAAGTAGCATCAAAAACATCTTAAAAAGGTGTTAAGTTTCACTGGACCGAACTTGAATCTGCCTGTGTCATAAAAGGTCAATTTAGCACTAGAAGTCCCAGAGCTGCCATTTTGACTTCTTCCTTGCAAACAAATGGAATTCTGAGAAATTCAGTTTTATTGAAAGTAAGTCATTTATAAGGTTTTGCACCTATACTCACTTTTACTAAAGCCCTATTCGTTTTACATGGGGACCCCCGGTAATTTGTGATAATCACGGAGGACGTCTGAGATTTTAGTCCTGTGCGAATGCGCCATGTCTGTAATTTGTAAAGTAATAATTCCGGTGCAAATTACCTCCTGTATTTGTCTAAACACAGACGTCCTCTGATAATACTAATCCTGTGAAAATCTGTATGTCAGTGATTGTGATCGCTATTGCCGCTTTCTCTTTACTTTCTGCGTTGTTTTTGTTAATGAGCAGAGGAGTCGCGGACCGCGGCTGCTGCTGTCTCTGTGAGGTCTATGGAGAAGCGTAGAGGACAGTGCAATGTGTTCACTGACACAAAATTATCAGACTGGTGGGTTGAATTTGTACGTTTACTTTGCACTCTGTCATAAAACAGTACAGACGTGTTGATTCAGCTGTTACTATTTGTCAGCTTGCCTTAAAGTACAGGCCAGAGAACTGTAGAGCAGTAAAATCCACATGTATGTGTGTGTCTTCATGATCTCTGTGGCGGCTGTGGTCAGACGGCAGTCTTTACGAACCGTGTGAAGCTGAGAGAGCTGCACACGTGCGGCCATTATGTAAGATGTCAGTGAAAATTACAGACATTGCTTATCCCGTGCGAATGCGCTGTCAGATCTCAGACCTCCTCAGTGATTATCACAAATTACCAGGGGTCTCCATGTAAAACTAATCCCGTCCGAATAAAGCTTAAGAGTGAAAACTGAAAGGCTAATGCTAACTGCTGCCACTAAACAGTGTGTCGCTATGGTAACTAGCACTTCCTCTTCTATAGTGGAAAACTTAAACCAAAGTACAGTCTCGGACCAAAATCAGGACTAGTCCAGGACCAGCTCAGAACCAATGGCTACATATGAATTTGACCTTCAAATGAATGGAGCACTCAAAAAGGTAGAACTGAATTTAAAAAATAAAAAAATTTAATAAAAATTACAGCAAAAAAAGTACACATAGAAAAAGTCACAAAAGTATAATTACCACGAATTTACAAATGCTTCCAAAAGTCGTCAGATTGACTGCTGTGGCAGGTGTAGTGTTAAAGCGCACACAGACGGAGCAGGTAAAGTTGCTGAACGAGATGCAGCCGCTCTCAGCCGCACACTTTGGTCCCGTGTCTGATCGCTCTGAGGAAGTCTCATCAGTGCTTCATACAGCCCTTTGTGCCCGTGCCATCCACCCACCCGCCAGCCTGCCTGCCAGCCCGCTCCTGGGTTCGTGGGCTCGCTGAGGTGGTCCCCTCGCGCTGGCCTATTCCATATCCATCAGCTGCTCTCCCAGGACGTCCAGGGCGGCTGAGGCTTTGACGGAGTTGCCAGCGGAGCCTGAGTCCACAAACATGTGTGGGATCTCGCTCCCAAAGTAGATCTTACTGTTGGTGGCGATGGCTTTGAACTTCATCAGCTGCAGGTACTCTGGGGTCAGCTTCATCTGGGGGACGGAGAAAAGGGATATGAGGCTCTCTGTGTTCCCTCGCTTGCTCTCTGGTCTACCTCTCTGGTCTACCTCTCTGGTCTACCTCTCTGGTCTACCTCTCTGGTCTACCTCTCTGGTCTACCTCTCTGGTCTACCTCCAGAGAGGGAGCTGTTACCTTGTTTGCCTCTGCTGCTCTCTGCGCTGTGTAAAACTCTGCGTCTGCTTTGGCCCTCTGCCGTGCCAGGAACGCTCCATCTGCACCAGAGACACACCTAAAGGTTAACAAGAGCTGGACAGCCCAGGGATGTCCAGGAGAGTCCAGGTGAGTCCAGGAGAGTGCAAGGGAGCCCAGGAAAGTCTTTGGGAGTCCAGGAAAGTCCAGGAGAGTCCAGGAGAGTCCAGGAGAGTCAAAGGAAGTCCAGGAGAGTCTAGGAGAGTCAAAGGAAGTCCAGGAGAGTCTGTGGGAGTCTAGGGGAGTTCAGAGGAGTCTAGGGAGTCCAGAGGAGTCTGGGAGAGTCCAGGATAAGGGCTGCAGTTGCTGCAGTAGGAGGTCTTGTTCATCATAACAGGTACATACCATAAGTCTAATTTTCCACATGTCATCATTACAAACCTTCAATTTGAGAGATCTTCTTCTCGGTCTCCTTCTCCATCACCTTTTGGCTGAACTTAATCTCGGCCACCTGTGCCACTTTCTCAGCCTCTGCAAACACCAGGATGTCCAACAGGAGTTCTTATTGTAAAACAGTCTCTAGCCGCATTTCTACTCTATAACTTACACTACTACTCAGAGCTGGTACTAACTACTAGCTGGCACTGGTGTTCTACCTGACAGGAAGAACAATGTATAAGAAAGAGTGCTGTTGAAAGCCATGGTTACCAAAGACTTCCCCAGATACTGATTTGTTCTGAATAGGTTGCAAAGATATAGTACCAGATACTAAAGCGTAATGAAAACACAACCAAGTAGAGTAGAGTAGAGACGAGCCAAGTTGTGTCATGTGTTTCCTATTGGACAAGACAATTGTCCAGTTACAAAAGTCACATACAGACTGTATATAAACACTGTACAAGTTTGTATCACACAGAGATGCTCCACTTGGTCCACACCTTAACGACTTCGTTTTTACAGTCCCATGTTCTTTGCATCATTAATTCTTACCCAATGCTCCTCTGTCAGTATTATCTCTTACAAATCTGACGATTATGAGTTACAGGTTATACAGGACCATGACATCACCAACAATGTCTAGACTCTGCTTATACTGTGTGCTTTCTTCTCTCTCCTTCTCTCTGGACTCTCTCCTTCTCTCTGGCCTCTCCCTCGGTCTCTGGTCTGGAACATGACTTCAACATTGTCTACCCCCAGCTGACACCGTGTACCTTTGTCAGTTCTTTCTAATTCTAAAGTGACGTACCAATGACAGCCTTGATGCGCTCCGTCTCAGCCTCCTTTTCCACCACTTTTTGTGTTTGCTGAGAGATGAGCAGCTTGGTTTTCTCACTCTCCCTAAAACAAATTACAAGATGTTTATCGAAACTCTCAGGGAAACATAACAAAAAAATCACATCTTTGGAGCCGCTAACCACATCCCAACACTGACTCATTACATCCTCACTTAAATAACCAATAAGAGAAAGATTAAACCAGGACTGAATCAGGTTTAGTCCCACATTGCCCAAGTCCTGTCTTAACCCATTGAGGCTGGGAACGCATTCCCGTGTTGATACCTTTAAGGCCGGAAAGCAGACACTTGACCAATGAAATGCATCAAGATAAAGCAGGGATGAGAATTATCTGCGGATCCTCAAATTCTGCTAATTTTCTTGCTGAAAATAGCATTTCTGTGAAATGTGTGACCGCAGGCTGTTTGCGTCACCTACTTGAACGGGATTCAGATCCTCCGTTCTGACCTCAGGAGCAACTGTGGCCGCTTTGACAACAGCTCAGTGAAAGCGTAGCCGTAACCTGGTCATGTACCGAGCGTGGACCATAGACGCACGGACAAAACCATACACGCGCGATCAGGACCATCCCTAACCTTGCCTGCAAGCTGAATTCTCGCGGTATTTGTGAGTTCACAAACACTCGAGAATACATCTTGTACCGCTCCCGCTTACACTTTTCGAGTCGAACCACTGGGTGTGCGAGCCAATCACGCGCCAGTCTGGGGGTTTAGGGCGGGATATCCGGGTTTGACGAAAGCAAGAAGTGCCGGGCCGAAGCAAAACAAACATGGCTACGCAGGAGGACGGACGCAAAGTCAGTTTTAGCAGAATCTCCAATTTCTTTTTTGAAAGATGAACAGCGAGAGGCGCTTTGTACATTTCTGGACGGCAACCTTGGTAGGCGGGCACACAGCGTCACTTCGCCCAATCAGCTTCAAGTATTCTGCTGCTTACCCCTCCTTTCCCCGAAAGGATTCTCCGGGAGAAATCCCAGATTGATATCGCGGAGAACGCGTTAGAGTTCTACACAATCATCAATCTGGCTTTTGCCAGGTTAGACCATCCCCAGCTTGTTGCACATGCAGGTCTTGCCTGTCCCCATCTCTCCTCTGTAACCCCCCAAATCTCCTCACGTTCGCTTGCATTGACAAAGCATGTTATTTGTGCCCAAAAAAAAATTGAACCAATCAAAGAGAACAAACCAAAACAGTCGAGTTTTTTTATTTTATTTTTTTATACTGATCCTCCTGCAGGTGGTGAGTCCACAGGAGCTGAGAGCTTTCAGCGGGGGCTTCAGGCAAAGTGGGGTTAAGTGTCTTGCCCAAGGACACAACTACAGCAGTCATCAGTGGGAGTCGTGAAGTAGGTCTACGGGGGGCTCGAACCCACAACCTTCAGGCCCAAAGGCCAATGCTCTACCAACTGAGCCACTGTCGCCCAGAAGTTGTATATTGTTTTGTTTTATTCTTCTGAAAGTTTATAATGATACACAGCATTCTTATTGACAGGCACAAGTGTCAGCTCTCAAATTCTTTTGAAATTATTTTCCATCTGCTACAGAGGCTGAGCTATCAATCATTCTGTAGACGTTGAATTTCAGGAAAACTTCAGATTTTAGAGGGTGGTTCTAAAGTCGGCCATAGATTTTACAGGTCTGTTTCACCAGGTGTGTCAGGTCTTAATGGGTTAAGACCCACTTTTATTCACGTGTGGTCCTCTGCGTTTCATTTTTTTCTCTGTTAAAACAACTAAGGAGTCATTTAAAGGCAAAAACTTGTCTTGGAAGGCTATTTTTACGATTCAGACTATTTCAACGTATATTTAATCTACGATTCCAGAGATAGAAGATTTTACTCATAAGGAACATGTTTTTATTGGCAACATACGACTAAAAACTTGAGTGTAGTCTGCAAGGAGAGAACATGCAAACTCCACTCAGAAGTTTTCAGACCCTTCTTTCCAATCATTTTAATTTTTTTGCAGTGGCCATGTTTAGGATTGTTTTACATAAGAAACAGCAACACACAAAGACCCTAGTTTTAGAAAAAGAGATCAAGAGTTACCAGTAGTTCTGCAGAATTCTGAGTAAGATTGACCATGCTCTTTTGGCTTCATCGAGCTGGGATATGTATGAGTCATCACCGAGTTCTCTACTCCTGTGGTTTGTTCTGACTGAAGCAGAGTTCCAGGTTACACAACTCCCACCATTATCTGTCCTTTTCACCAGACTTCACTTTAATGAAGACTTATTATAATCACAGACAGCAATGGTTCTACGTGTTTATTTGTATATAAACACACACACAGACACACTGTGAAGTGTCTTGCCTAAGAACACAACGAAAGTTTGACACTTTACAGCCGCCTCACTGTGGCCTTATGTTCCGAGAGGTCTTTCATTACTGTACTAACCAGGCCCTGCCCTGCTTAGCTTCAGAGGTCTGACAGGATCTGGCCGCAGGGGGCACCATTCAAATCATAATTAATTAGTGAAATCCTCATTCCAAAAGTGATTTCATTCTCGATGTGATCAATCCCCAGTAAATGAGGGAAAATTCTTGGGTTTGAATTTAATTATTTATTTCAAACCTGCACAGGAAACACAATTTACAAATGTTCAGACCAGTGGGGGCGGGTCCCAGCTCAAAAGTGGCCAAAATGACGTGCGCTGACAATAATAATTCTCTGTCACGAAATAGGTTCTGAACATTCTGAACAGTTTTCTCCGATGCCCTGAAAATAATTTGACAAGTTTTAAAGTGAATCAAATCTGGTATTTTAGGTTCTTCCAACTCTATGAACAGTGGATGAGTATGTTTATAGTGAACATTAGAGACAATCCTTATGGCCTTTTTCTGCAGAGGCAGTAATTTAAATATGATATAATGAAAAAACGATACAATAATAGAATAGCATTGGTGTTGAGTAAATGACTTGCTCTCTTCATCATTCCAACACATTTAGCAACTTTTGACCAGATGAAATTTATGTGAGGTTTCCAGGATATTTTATCATCTATTACAACTCCCAAAAATGTATTTTGTTGAACTTTACCTATTTGTGTATCATCAATGACAATCTGGACAGGGATATTACATCTGCAATTGCTAAAAAGCATAAGCTTTGTCTTTTTTAAATTTAGTGACAATTTGTTTATATTAAACCAGGTCACCTGCACATAAGATATTTGTGTCATTGGCAAAAAGGATGAATTTCAATAAGTTTGATATTTTACATACACTACCGTTCAAAAGTTTGGGGTCATCCAAGTGTTTACCCCAATTGTTGTAAATGTTGTACAGCAATTACTGTACAACATTGCACCAAAAACCAGAAATTTGCAGCTAGAATAGTCATTTACCGCAAAAGCAATGTATAGAGTGTATTTCTTTACAGTTAAGACTAGTTTAAAGTTATCTACAGTGCTTTTCCTTCAAAAATAAGGACATTTCAATGTGACCCCAAACTTTTGAACGGTTCTGTATATCATTTATGTACATTATGAATAATGTGGGTCCAAGTATTGATCCTCCACACGTTACTTTCTTAAATCCAGATTTGTGTTTGGTCCATCTGTACCAGCTGCCTTCTCTCCCTTAAGTAACTCTCTACCCATTTTTTAGCTTTTCCCCTTATGTCATAGCTTTCAAGTTTGTGTATCAAAATATGGTGGTCAATTGTGTCGAACGCTTTTTGAAGGTCAATGAAAATCCCTAAAACAAATTTATTTTTCTCAATACCGTTAGTAATTTCTTCAATTAAATCAATTAGTGCTAGTGAAGTGGATCTATTTTGTCAAAATCCATATTGACCATTGGACAGTAAATTGTGGTTTTCAATAAAGCAGCGCAGTCTAGTGTCAAATATTTTTTCTAATATTTTAGAAAACTGTGGCAGAAGGGAAACAGGCCGATAATTTGTAAGGGAAATTCTCCCAGCTGAAAAGATAAGTTGCAGATATGTGTAAATGGTTTAACAATTTCCTCTGCTACATTTCGGACAGTCCACATGTCGATATCATTAATATCGCGAGACGTTTTATTTTTACAGTTCCTAATGACATTGAGGACTTCCTTCTCATCTGGGGGGCGACAAACATGGAATGTAAATTTGTTTCAATGAGTTCTCTTGGCTGTTCATTGTTTGCTGGGATTTTTCCTGCCAACTCAGGCCCTACATTAACAAATTATTAAAACCATCTGCAATCTTCTTTTGGTTTCGAACAATCATGTCATTTTCCAAAAAATACTCGGGATAACACAGGCTGTTGGAGCCAAGACCAATTCCAAACTCCTTTAATGTCATTTTTCTTTTTGATTATTAAATCTGTATAATATTCTTCTCTGCTGCTTCTCATTATGCTAGTTAATTTATTTTTATGTTTTGTGCTTTTGTTCAGTTTCTATTGTTTGATACCTAAGAAATTGCCTATAAGAAATGTATCTTTTTGCAAGCGTTTACAAGCCCTCTTGTTAACCATGGAGTTTTTGTGTGCTTTCTTGTGCACTTTTTGATTGGACAGTGCTTATCATAGAGTGTGAGGAAAATGTCAAGAAACAAATTGTAAGCTTCATATACGTCGAACATTTGAAAAATAGGATCCCCTTTTTGCCTCGCTAGATCATGCTTTATTGCTAATATGGATTGTTCTGTTGTGACTCGTTGATAACAGTCCCCATTTACTGGTTTGGATATTTTGCTATTAATGTCATACACCCTGAAGACCGGTAAATGATCACTCACATCATTCACTAACAAACCTCCAGTTAACTATTAATAAATTGTCTACAAGAGTGGCACTATGCGATGTAATTCTCATGGGTCTGGTGATAAGTGGGAATAAGCCCATAGAAAACATGGTGTCAATAAATTCTTCTATATGTACATGTTTATTAGGATTTAATAGGTTAATGTCAAAGTCTCCACATATAATAACTTGTTTGTTTCTATCATTAAAAATCTTTTCCATCCATTCCCGAAATGTTTTCAAGTCGGATCCTGGTGTCCTGTGAATGCAGCTTACAATAATGTTTTTCTTGTTTGGAATTGCTAATTCTATCGTGACCAGTGGGGGCGGGTCCCGGCTCAAAATTGGCCAAAATGATGTGCGCTGACATGCTTGCCAATGGGGGTGGACTCGGAATACGAATTAGCCAACACTAACATATAGCATTGGCAGACCTCTCGAAAACGTCTTTCCAGGAGGGTCCAAAAGTTGGCTCTTAGCCCAAAGCTCCGTTCCACATGTGTGTCAATGCTGAGGGGAGTGAATTTTTTCGGACCACTCTAGTTTACTTGCTGTGAATTTTTGAAGTCTCTCGTTCAAATGAATGGAGCTGATGTGTTTTTTAACTATTTTCTTGTGGGTGGGACCACTCGCGGCCATTTTGGATAGCTCCAATAAAGCACTATTTTTGGCCCATTATAAGAACGGCAGAGATAGGCGTGACTACGTCTGTTAATTTTTACAATCTATGATCGTGACGCACTCAAAAAGGTCATCTATTGCTAAACACAAATCATTTACAATAGAACTGTTCATATTTTTGTCCACGTACAGAGCCACTCCCCCTCCTCTCTTGTGTTGCCGGTTTGTACAGAACATTTCATAACCATCTAATTCAAAGTCACAACCACTATTCTCTCTTATCCACGTCTCTGATATACCAATTATATTAAAAGGTGATTTAAAGAGTCACGTGGGTACGCCGAGCAGGATGGCAGCATTGTAGAGGAGCACCCGCCACCCACCAATATTTTGATGTTTATAGTGAGGTAAATCACGTTTCTTGGACTGATTACTAACTGATATTGTTCTGTGAACGTTTCACTACGTTTTGACCGAGTAATGACCACTTCGAAGATTTCTAAGGACACAGGGACGACGCGCATGTCCACGAGAAACATGCTAACGCTAGCTGCTAATGAAGAGCCCGAGGAGGAGAGCTTTCGGGGAAAAGTAACCCTTGAAACAGTTTTGGCTGAAATCACGAAAATAAGCGCAAAACTGACAGAAGTGGGCTCGGATGTTGTGTCTATCAAGGAGGTTGTCAGTGGTTTACAAGCACGAATGGGAGAAGCGGAGCTACGAATCTCTCAGATGGAAGACAAAATGGGGGGCCTTGAAACCGACAGCGACGTTGCGGGGAAGAAGGTGAGCGCGCTGTGGGATCGTGTACAGGCGCTTGAAAACCACAGCAAAAGAAACAATGTACGTTTAGTTGGCCTCAAAGAAACCTACGGAACTGATGGTACGCTTGAGATGTGTGTTAAAAAAGTTCTGAGGGAAGGACTGGGCATTGTCCCCGAAGCGGAATTTGAGATTGAGCGACTGCAAAGAGTCTCAGCTCCGGTGCCGAACGAGGGGCAGCCTCCCCGTGCTGTTTTGATCCGCTTTTTGAGGCAGTCCGCCCGGGAGAAGGTGCTGAGAGCGGCTGCGGTGAAGCGAGGGGTTACATGGGAAGGGAATAGGCTTTCGATATTCCCTGACGCAACGAAGGAACTGGCTGAGAAGAGGAAAACGTTTCTGGCAGCGAAGAAGGCACTGCAGCAACGCAATGTGAGATACACTCTGGCCTTTCCTGCGACGTTGAGATTCACATGGAGGGGGAAAAACCAACGCTTCACACAAGCTGAGGAGGCTGAACGCTTCATCAACCGTCACAGCAACAACTAATACAGGAGGTACGGGACAATATCAGCGATACTGTTGTACAAGTGGACAGTGAGTAAATCTTTTTCGGGTGAGTGGGGGCTGACACGGGCTGTCGCCTAGCGACGAACACTCGGTTGGAAAGGGGTCTCCCACGGACCATAACGAGTTAACACTTTTCTTTTTTCTTTTATTTTATTTGCTACAGTATCTTATCAGGCCAGGTGGCCAGGACTCCCTGTTTTAGCTTCAGGGGGACAATTTAAGTTTGTATTTTCACTGTTCTGTTCTTTTTGCATTCACATGCTTACAAATACTTGGTTTTTATATATGGTCCGATACACGAGAGAGAAATATGACATGGTCTGGGGGCTATTTCATTTTTGTCTTATATTCTGTCTGATTCCAAATGGCTCAGAATTATGTTAAGTTGGAATATTAAAGGTTGTGGAACTCCTGCAAAAAGAGGTAAAATAATGGCATACCTTAAACACAAAAAGGCAGATATTGTGTTCATTCAAGAGTCACATTTTAGGGGAGAGAAGCCTTGAAATTAAAGTTTGGATGGGTGTTTGTCATAGTTCTTTTTCAAGTAAACGTAATGGGGTGGTTATACTTGTGCATAAAAACATATCATTTACTCTAGTTAAACAAGCAAAAGATAAAGAGGGCAGGATGATCTGTCTACAAGCTCAAATTAATGGTAGACATATTATTTTGTGTAACATTTACGCACCAACTAAAGGTGTGATCAGAACTTTTTCCATGCGGTAAACAAAACAGTGGGTGAAATGGAAGGGGATTTTATTTTAGCAGGAGATTTTAATCAAGTCTGGGATGCATTTATAGATGGAAGCAACATTAGTGGACTATCAATCCCCAAAGACAGAGCAGTATTCATATGCTAAGTGAAGACAATCATTTGGTAGATATCTGGCGATTAACAAATCCCTCAGAAAGAGAATATACTTTCTTCTCTCATTGTCATAAATCTTACTCGAGAATAGATATTTTCTTGATATCAAAAAATATAACCAAAGTATTGGATTGTAAAATGAATGCTATTACTCTGACCACGCCCCTGTAGATTTAGGAATATATATAAACAATGATTCAGAAAAGCGAGGTAGATGGAGACTGCATCCCTGATGTTTAATGAGAAATGTTGCTCATCTTTGGAGGAAGATTTAAAATCCTTTTTTGAAATGAATATGGGTAGTACCTCTAAAAAGGCAATTGAATAGGAAGCCTCAAAAGCATTTATCAGGGTTAAAATTATAGCATACACCTGTAAGAAAAAGAAGGATGATCTAGGAAGGAGAAAGGAACTAGAGAGTATGATTACAGCACAAGAGAACTAGCCTTTTTCAAATAACAAATATCAAGAGATTTGCAAACTCAAATTTGAACTTCAGGAAATATATAATAATAAAGTGCAATATGCCTTATTTAGATTAGGGACGTCCTTTTAGATTCAGATTAATTTCTTTGCCATTTGCAGTAAAACTACATTGGAAAAACTGTGCAAGACTACCCCAGTGTGCACCAGACGACACACACCAGAGCTCTTGCCACGGCGCCATCTTTACGGCGCCATGCGACATACGGCGCCCACTTTTATGAAGAGGGGGAAAAATCAGGGAGATTGTTGGCTAAACAACTGAAAAAGAGGGATTCTGGAAACGTGATTCCTGCTAGTAAAAAGGGTGATACAATTGTCACAGACTCTAAAGAAATTAATCAGGTGTTATTAAATTATTATCAAGCATTATATACTCCAGATTCTACTCCTGATTACGAAGAACAAATCAATTTCTTCGCTCATGTAGATCTACCAAAATTGTCACCTGAGCAAGCTGAACTCTTAGATTGTCCAGTGACAGACCTTGAAATTCGTAAATCAATAGCAGGCATGAAGAATGGAAAGTCACCAGGCCTAGATGGATTGCAAAATGAGGCTTTTGCACAACAATGTCTGCCCCCAACTTTTGATGAGGCTTTGATTACAGTAATACCAAAAAAAAGCGACCCGTTACATCCCTCTAATTAAGGACCTATTAGCCTACCAAACGTAGACTTTAAGATCCTGACCAAAATATTAGCAACTTGATGGGAAAAGGTTTTAGCAAATATTATACAAACAGACCAAGTACAGTTTATGAAAAATAGATCCTCAACAGATAACATGAGACGACTATTGCATTTAATAAGTCTCAACTGTGAAAAGAATAGTCCTATAGTTGCCCTCTCCCTTGACGCAGAGAAGGCCTTTGATCGTGTCCACTGGGACTTTTTATTTGCTGCTCTGCAAAACTTTGGATTTTCAACATCCTTTCATCACATGGATCAAAATGTTATATAAAAGTCCAAAGGCTTCTGTCATCACTAATGGCATTATATCACCTTCCTTTACCTTAAAGCGAGCTACAAGGCAAGGGTGCCCACTTTCCCCTTTGTTGTTCAACATTTCACTGGAGCCACTGGCAGTCGCCGTAAGAGGGGATTTGGATATAAAGGGAATAGAAGGAGGTGGTAAACAACATAAGCTGCTGCTCTATGCAGATAATATTTGGTTCTATTGAAAGACCCAGATCACTCGATCCCTCAACTAATGGATACAATTAAATCTTACTCTAGAGTTTCAGGATATAAAATCAATTGGGCCGAATCAGAGGCAATGCCTATATCTGGCATTTACAGCGGAAACATAACAGGCAAATTTGGGTTTAAATGGACTCCGGATGGAATGAAATATTTGGGTATTAAATTGAGTAGAGAGTTGGAAAAAAATGCCAACGCTAAATTTGGAGGCAATATTAGAAAAAGTTAAAGTTAATCTTGATAAGTGGGGGAAACTTAAGTTGACACTTTGGGGGAAAGTAAATGTAATCAAAATGGTTGCTTCACCACAGTTCAATTATCCTCTGATGATGCTACCAATCAATGTACCAACATCCATATTTAAACAATATGAAGTGATTGTTAAACATTTTCTTTGGGAAGGGAAAAGGCCAAGGATAAAGTTATCTAAACTATATTTACCTAGGGAACAAGGAGGTCTGAGTTTACCAGACCCCAGACTGTATTACATCTCATTTGAAATGGCAAAAATGTCCCTACATTGGACCATGACCAATTTGACTGGGAAATTATCAAGTCTCTTTCTCAAATTATAGATAAAAAAGCCAACCCTATTACGTTACATTCAAAGGAAATCTGGATGATAGTACATAAGTTATTAAAGTTGCCGTATTGTTCACAATCTTGTTCTTCTTTGTGGCAAAATCCTGCTATCTGTATTAGAAAGGCACCAGTCTACTGCAAAAGTTGGTATGATCATAAAATATGCACAATGAATGAATGAATATGCCCTGACTGGGAATGGACATTTTTGGAAATATCTTCAGATAAGAAGTTGTGTCAAAGCCTCAACACACAGGAGTGAACCAGATATTGGACTATTTGACTCTTCCCTCTCATCATCATCGTGCTTCATCGTTCTACAGAAGAATCAATGATGCAACGAGTGATGGCTGCAAAGCACTAAAGGTTCTATGGGAAAAGGACATGGGGGTTACATTTGGAGATGATGAATGGCTGAAAATGGTGTCAGAAAATGGGACATTTGTGAGAGAATACAAAGGGAAATTTACACAATATAAGATACTGCAAAGATATTAGTGGCCCCCAGTAAGATTGCATAGGTCGGGTCTAAAGAACAATGCTTTGTGTTGGAAATGTCAGAATGATGCTCTTATTCACTGTCTCTGGGAATGCCCAATTATTGAACACTTTTGGATACAGGTCATATGTGTCCTGAGTGAATGGTTTGGAAAGACAGTACCGCTCTGCTCCAGACTGTGTTTATTAGGAGATAAAAGAAGCATAAGTAACATTTCAATAGGGGAATTCTCCGTTATCATGGTGGGATAACAGTAGCGGCCAGAGTTATTCTCAAACATTGGAAAACTCCAAACGTTCCACAAATGAATACATCCATTCCACTCAACAGGAGGGAACATAATATGATCTCTCAACCATGCATAATCCAACCTTTTTTTTGTTTATATATTTTCTGTTGCTGTGTATAATGGCCCCCAGCCATGTTTTTCTGAAAGTATACGTAGTTGCCATATTTTCATCCTGTTAAGACCCAGGACTGAGGCTCTAGACCCAGGACTGAGGCTGTGGACCCAGGGAGCTGAAGTCTGGACCAGGACTTGAGGTGTAGACCCAGGACTGAGGCTGTAGACCAGGTCTGAAGCTCTGGACCAGGACTGAGGCTGTAGACCCAAGGGACTGAGAGCTGTTAGACCCAGGACCTGAGCCTGTAGACCCCAGTCCAGGACTGAGGCTCTAGACCAGGAACCTGAGGCTGTTAGACCCAGGCTGAGGCTGTTAGACCAAGGAGTGTCAACTTTTTTTTTTGACCCAGGATCGGCCGCTTTAGACCGGACTGAGGCTCTAGACCCAGGGGGATGGAGGCTTAGACACAGGACTGAGCCTTACACCCTGGACTGAGAGCTCTGGACCCAGGGACTGAGGCTGGTCGACCCAGATGAGGCTATAGACCCAGGGCTGAGGGTGTAGACCAGGACTGAGTTTTAGACGCATGGCTGAGGCTCTTGTAGACCCAGACTGAGGCTGTAGACCAGGACTGAGGACTGTAGATCCAGGGACTGAGGCTTTAGTCCAGGATTGAGGTGTAGCACAGGACTGAAGCTCTGGACCCAGGAGGATGAGGCTGTAGACCAGGACTGAGCTGTAGACAGGACTGAGGTTGTAGACCCAGGACTGAGGTTGTATAGAACCCAGGACGAGGTTGTTAGACCCATGGCTGAGGCTGTATATCCAGGACTGAGGCTGGATCCCAGGAATGAGCCTGTAGACCCAGGACTGAGCTTGTAGACCCAGAGAATGAGGCTGTTAGGCACAGGACTGAGCTCTACACCAGGACCTGAGGCCTTTAGACCCAGGATGAGGCTGTGGAACAGGATGAGGCTGTAGACAGGACCTGAGGCTGT